CTCACCACTGTGCCTCCAGAAGGAAAATGAGAAAGGGAATAAGAGAGGAAAGGAAGGGAGGGAGGGAGGAATAACAATAGCACTTTGACTTATATACCACCCCATAGTGCTTTGCAGCCCTCTCTAAGCAGTTTACAGAGTCAGCCTATTTCCCTCAAAAATCTGGGTCCTCATTTTACTGATCTTGGAAAGATGGAAGGCTGAGTCCACCTTGAGCTGGGCAAGATCGAACTGCTGGCAGTGGGCAGAGTCAGCCTGCAATGCTGCATTCTAACCACTGAAACACCAGGGCTCCTATGAAAAAAAAAAAAGGAAAGGAATTCTGGAAATGATCTGGATAGTTTAACAGCCCTCCCCCAAATTGCCATTTTTGCAAGCCAACAAAGCAATGTCAGTGTGGAATAGCATGGAGAATAGGCCCAATTCTGACAGAAGAGAATATATGTAGATATGGAGATGGTGTAGACTTCCAGAGGAAAAGAGAGGAACCTGACCCACTTTCCATCGAAGGGGACTGTGTGGAAAAGGTTTTCTCCTTCAAATTCCTGGGGGTCTACCTCTGTGAAGATCTTACCTGGAAAATTAAGATAGGCCAGGTGGCCAAAAAGGACCAACAGAGACTCCACTTCCTCAGGGTCTTGTGGAAGAACAGGATAGAATGACGACTCATGACCTTCTTCTACCAGTCTACTATTGAAAGCGTCCTCACATGGGAGACCCAGGCAACACAGTATTGAATAACTGGAGATTATATAAATATTTATAGATGTATATACTGAGAAGGTTAGATAGATAGAAGTATTAATGTAAGAGAAAATTAATCTTATTGTATATAATACAGATAAGGAAATTTGGAGAGAGGAGTTGCTCGGACATTACCCCTGAATCGTATCTGAAGAGGGATGAGAGGGAAGAAAGGAGAGGAGAGAGAAAAGAGTAAAGGAGGGGAGAAGGAAGTAGGAAGGTTGGAGGAGAAGAGGAGAAGTGGGGAGAAAGGGGAGGAGAGTGGTGAAGGAAAGAGAAGAGGAGAGGAAGAAGAGGGAAGTAGGGAAGAAAGAGAAGAAAGGGAGAAAGAAAGTAGAGAAGAAGGAGTGTGAATACAGTGAAAGAGGAAATGGGCGAGCAACACCAAAAGTCATGTGTATGTATTTATTTCATTTTATCAAAAGTATCTTATATATGAATGTAAAAAGAATGTATGTTAACATCTGATAAATATCACGGTATATGTATGGGGGAGAGTTTGAAAAAAAAAAGCATCTTCACATACTGTATGGTGGTTTGGTATGCTGGCTTGACAGCCGCGGACAGGAAGATATACGAGAGAGTGGTGAGCACCACACAAAACATCGTGGGCTGTTCCCTGACACCACAGGATGACATCGCCAGGGCCCGTTGCCTTGGTAGAGTGAGGAAAATTCTCAGGGATGACTCACACCCTGGTTAGTACCGTATATGCCGGCGTATTAGGCGACCCGGCATATAAGATGACCCCTGTCTTTATAGCCGGGCCACATTCCTAGAACGTCGTCTTATATGCCGGAAACTACCAGTATTTCCGGTGTATAAGACGACTCGGCGTATAAGACGACCCCCGTCTTTGGCGCCGATTTCAGCTCTCGCGGAAGTCGTCTTATACGCCGGCATTTACGGTACCTCTTTATTCTCCTACCATTGGGAGAATAAAGGAGATCTAGAAACATAGCCAGCCATACCAACGGGCTGAAGAACAGCTTCTATCCATGGGCTGTCCAACTCTTGAACGGGACATAATTTTATGCATGATAGACTCGTGAAGCCGGCGTGCCGTGCAATTAGCTCACAGGGTGTAATAAGTTGGTGGGTTTGTAGTCACTGTGAGTTGTGATGGGGGGGGGGGAACGGAGGGAAGCTCAGCCAATCTCACTGTGTACATGTTATACTTTGATAATAAAGGTTCATTTATTTCATTCAGGGCTGAACTTTGGGGTCCTTGGTGCTCTCTGAACTTGGTGGTTTTCATGCTGACGTTTTGTTGACCTGGACTTAGGGGACAGTATCAGTTGTGAATACGTGCAGATGGCCCCCGCTATCTCTGGCCACTTGCAGAACCATGAATGCCAGGTCATAAAAGGACAACAAAGGAAACACCCAATATCCTAACATATGGTGACTTTGGGAAATAACCCAAAGGGACCATTTTTAGCTACTTCCTTCTTATCTACAACGCGCCGGCCTTAAAGGGCGAAGTCTTCATCTTATGTGCGTCAGCTTTGCTGGGTGAATTGCTTATGTAATCAAAGAAGGTATAGAAAATAAGGCTTTTCTGATATTTGGAGCTTTTTCTCTCTCTTTTTTTTTTAGAGACGCCTGTCTTTGTTCAGCTGAATAAAAATGTAAAGCTTGAAGGCAAGTTCTGGTTTCCTCTATTTTTTATCAAGCAAAACTTCAGCACCTGCATAGCAGTTTCATGACCCATCTAGGCAACATCATCAGTGCTAGAAGGGAGTGGGGCTTGTAGAAGGAAGGAAGAGGGCTATGGAGGTTTTCTTGCAGATGTTTCATGACCCAACTAGGCAACATCATCAGTGCTAGGCCCAACTCTAATGATATCTCACAGTGGAGTAGCTCAATAGCTTCTTCTATTTATGTATATACTATATAAAACATCTTCTAAGATTCCAGCTACGGGTCCATTGATTTGAAGACAATGATGCAGCGTTGAAGAAAATGCACAAAAAAAAATGTTTCCTTGGCTTCTGTCATTAGAAGCTAAGAATTAATATTTGGGTGCAAATCTTTGAACTGGCAATGGGGATGCAACCTTCAAACTGCTATCTTTGGAAGCAATCTTTTCAGGAGACTATTGCAAATATATATTTTTTTCCAGGGTGAATTTGAAATATGCAGCTGTGGCAGCCACTGAAAGCCCAGATGAAGAAGTAGGGTAGGAAGGACTTTTAAATGGAGGTTTTCAAGAAGAGAATGGTCACCCATTTGTCCGAAATGGTATAGAATCTTCTACCATGGGCAGTGGGTTGGACTAGAATAGCCATAGCTATTAGACTTATGTACCACTTCACAGTGCTTTACAGCCCTCTCTAAGCAGTTTGCAGAGTCAGCGTCTTGCCCCCAACAATCTGGGTCCTCATTTTATCAACCTTGGAAGGATGAAAAGCTGAGTCAACCTTGAGCTGGTCAGGATCGAACTGCCGAACCATTGGCAGCAAGGATTCAGCAGAAGTAGCCTGCAGTGCGGCATTCTAGCCACTTCAGCAGCAGGACTCTTGGAGATCTGTAGAAGACCTCCAAGGTCCCTTCCAATCCTATTATTATATGTTCTGTGTTCTGAACCCCAGCTGAGTCTTAGTAGCACCATGGACCAGTCCTTGAAGTTTCCAAGGCAGCAAATTCCCCAAAATGTACCTCTTGAAATCTCTCTATTTCTGCTATTTGTGAGATGCAAGCATTCTAGTGTAATCGTACTCAAATAATACAAGTGTCAGCTTAATAATAATAATAATAATAATAATAATAATAATAATAATAATAATAATAATAATAAAGTTGGAAGGGACCTTGCAGGTCATCTAGTCTAACCCCTGCTCAGGCAGGAAACCCTACACCCTTTTGGACAAATGGCTGTCCAGTCTCTTCTTAAAAACTTCCAGTGTTGGAGCATTCACCGCTTCTGGAGGCAGGTTGTTCCACTGGTTAATTGTTCTAACTGTCAGGAAGTTTCTCCTTAGTTCTAGGTTGCTTCTCTCCTTGATTAGTTTCCATCTGTTGCTTCTTGTTCTGCTTTCAGGCGCTTTGGAGAATAGCTTGACTCCCTCTTCTTTGGGGCAGCCCCTGAGATACTGGAACACTGCTATCATGTCCCCCCTAGTCCTTCTCTTCATTAAATTAGACATACCCAATTCCAGCAACCATTCCTTATATGTTTTAGCCTCCAATCCTCTAATCATTTTGTTGCTCTTCTCGTACTCTTTCTAGAGTCTCAACATCTTTTTTACATTGTGGTGACCAAAACTGGATGCAGGATTCCAAGTGTGGCCTTACTTAATCTATTTAATCTTAATCTAAGGAAGGAAAGAAAGAAAGAAAGAAAGAAAGAAAGAAAGAAAGAAAGAAAGAAAGAGAGAGTTCACTTTGGTGAACTCAAATTATATGAAGAACTGTTGCTGGAATTGGGTATGTCTAGTTTAATGAAGAGAAGGACAGGGGGGGGACAGGATAGCAGTGTTCCAATATCTCAGGGGCTGCCCCAAAGCTGAGGGAGTCAAGATATTCTCCAAAGCACCTGTAGGCTGGGCAAGAAGCAACAGATGGAAACTAATCAAAGAGAGAAGCAACCTAGAACTAAGGAGAAATTTGCTCACAGTTAATCAGTGGAACAACCTGCCTCCAGAAATTGTGGGTGCTCCAACAGTGGAGGTTTTCAAGAAGAGACTGGACAGCCATTTCTCTGAAATAGTATAGGTCTCTTGCAAGAGCTGCAAGTTGGACTACATGATCTCCAAGGTCCCTTCCAAGTCTGTTACTGTTACTGCTACTAGCTTACAAGCATTTATTTAATGATCATTCAAAATTATGATGGCACTGAAATATTTAAAAAAATGACTTAGGACTCCTTCTCACATGACTCTCACAGCTTCTGGATCAAAATGTGGACTGATTTTAAAAAAGGGGGGACAATCCAGTCCAAAATGATTACTTACTGATCGTTACTTCTCAATCTACTAAAAAGAAAAAGGAAATTTCACTCTGCTATTAAACCAAAAGTGCTTTGTCATTCTCAATTTAGCCAGGCTTCAATTATGTGGACTCTTCATGTTTGATATTCCAAGTTGTAATTGTTCCCCTTCCCCCATGGCGTGTTTCTCAGTGAACTTCCACTGAGCAGTTTATGCCGAACTTTGCACTTTAACTTCTTTTTCAAAGCTGCCTTAGAGATCCCCGAGATATATTTTGAGGAAAAACCTGTAAGACGTCAAAGAAACAGAAGGAGCTGCTGCAGCGATCTGCAGTTGTGTGAAGAAGCACGATGGGGTGCAATCAAAACTGTGGTTTGCTAACAGGAACAATCATTGGGGCTGCGTTAGCCATCCTGGGAGGAATTTTAATCCCAGTTGGAAATAACCTCGTTGAGGACACAGTAAAAAAGGTGAGAGACACCTCTAACTCCTGCCTTTTTGCAGTTCTTTCCCTCCCTTTCTTCTCAACTTTTACTTACAGTGTAAACAAGGGGTGCCACCAGCATCCTTGGGCTGTTTCTCCTCATATCTGCTACTAGCTGGCTTCTGTGACATTAGGAATGGGACCCACATCTGCTGATTTTCCTGGATGATTGGTTCTCCAAATGGAATTCTTTTGGTGTGTGTGGAGGGGGTGGTGGTGGTGGATGAAAAGTAAAGAAATAAGTGAGATATTCAGATGTTCCTTTGACCGACCATTTGTAGACAGGGAGGGCAGAATTAGGAATTATGCCTTGTGTGATGAAAAGAAGCACTGGGGCGACCTGATTGCAGTCTTCCAGTATTTGAGGGACTGCTACAGAGAAGAGGGGGTCAACTTATTTCTCAAAGCACCCTAAAGCAGGACAAGAAACAAGAGATGAAAACTAATCAAGGAGAGAAGCAACCTGGAACTAAGGAGGAATTTCCAGACAGCGAGAACAATTAACTTGCCTCCAGAAGTTATGGCTGATCCATCACTGGAGGCTTTTAAGAAGAGATTGGACAATGTTTTGACTGGAATGGTATACGGCAGTGGTTCTCAACCTTTTTAATGCCACGACCCCCAACCGGTCGTAAGTCGAGGACTACTCAACCGGTCGTAAGTCAAAGACTATTCAACTGGTGCAGCACTGTTTGCAGAATGGGACTTTTGGTGGGCTCAGCAGGGCAGAGACAGCCTGGACAATTCCTATTGGCTTTGGAAAGCCAATAGAATTAGACTCTATTCAAGAGAGTCTATTCTATTGGCTTTCAAAAGCCAATAGAATAAAAGGGAGTAGCACAGCTAAGGAAAAGGGGGAAAAAATGGCGGACTGCGTTGTTTGGAGACCCCCGTGAAATGGTCGTTCGACCCCAAATGGGGTCCCGACTCACAGGTTGAGAACCACTGGTATACGGTTTCCCTGCTTGAACAGGGGGTTGGACTAGATGACCTCCAAGGTCCCTTCTAACCATGTTATTCTATGTTCTAAGCAACCAATTGAAACTGATCACCACATTCAGCATAACGTAGAAAGAAACGTGGCAACTTCATCCAAAACTTGAGGACAATGAAGAGTTTAAATGTTTAGCTTTCAAAGAGTTGATTTAGGCTTGGAAGATGGTTGTACATTTCTAAGAACGATGTGATGTCTATGCCTTCGCAGCCTTAAAATTCTAAAACTTTTTAAATGTTTTTTTTAAAAGATACAGCTGAAAATGCTACAGGCTCTTCCTTGTTCTATTCGTCACAATCCAGGACCAAATAACGCAATCATTTTAGCTTACATCTCTTTGGATGTAATATTTCACGGGGAGCTCCAGCACTGATGCTGGATCAGGAGCTTCACCTAAAACAGTGTTTCTCAACCTTGACAATTTTAAGGCATGTGGACTCTGGTGCTGGAGAAGACTCCTGCGAGTCCCCTGGACTGCAAGGCGATCCAACCGGTCAGTCCTAAAGGAGATCAACCCCGACTGCTCTTTAGAAGGCCAGATCCTGAAGTTGAAACTCAAGTACTTTGGCCACCTAACGAGAAGGAAGGACTCACTGGAGAAGAGCCTGATGCTGAGAAAGATGGAGGGCAAGAGAAGAAGGGGACGACAGAGAATGAGATGGCTGGATGGAGTCACTGAAGCAGTAGGTGTGAGTTTAAATGGACTCCAGAAGATGGTAGAGGACAGGAAGGCCTGGAGGAACATTGTCCATGGGGTTGTGATGGGTCGGACATGACTTCGCAACTAACAACAACATGGAGTGTGATCCTAGCCAACTATTACACAAGGTATGGGTAAAAAACCCTCTGGTTCTTGTTTGTTATGAAAAAACATTAAAGTATTATTGGCTTGCTGATTTCTGAATAATAATTAAAGTCACCTTCATTTTTGGGTAATGAGAATACCTGCTTTTGAAATCTCTTGCTGACTATTTGGCAAAATCAGCCTAGTTTATAAACCACCTTCTAAAATGATTTCCTTTGGATTATGATAGCCTTGAAGATAATCACCTCCAACTATCTATCTTATAAAGACTGAAGTTCAACTCTCATAACTGCTGATAAAACAACAGATGGAAGGTCACTAACTCTGATTTAAGAATATTTAATGTTGCAAGATTAGATTAGAGAGATAATAATATCTAGGGCTATGATGTTGTAAGAAGGAAAGAGAATGATGATATTCAGCATTGATGAGGGATTGATTACACTATGTGCCATCAAGTCATTGTTGAATTTTAGCAAGTACTTAGATAGCTTTTCTCAATAACGATGAGCGTATTTTAATTTTAATACTAAAGTTGCAAAAGCTATGGACCATGGCCAAAACTCATGACTGGGTTGTTTGTTAAGTGAATCAATGCAGTTGTCATGGTTCCAACAGATGAAACTCTTCAAGGAACTTGGAGGCATTGTTTACCTTAAAGGATCTTTATTCGAGTAGCAGAATATCGGCACTTACATAATTGAAGCCAAAAATTGAATTCCCCTCTCCTGAGCACATAGTATCAAAGCACGATTCCTTCCTCCAATTTACAGACATAAATCACATTCCCCAATTAGCTTGAAGCACGGACTTCCTCTCCAGCTCTCCAGCCCTCCAATTCTTTATCAGCTCTGATTTCAACAACCTTGATTCTCACACTAGGTTCAGTGTTGTTATGTCTAGCTGGGCTCTCATTCACATCCCCACCTCCCCAGCATCATCTAACTCTAAAAGCGAAAGGAAGAAAATGGCTACATTTCCATCTATTGTCAATGCAAAAATGTCCGACATTAGCAGCGTTGACAGCAGTTGTTAAATTAGTAGCACAGTCATTAAGTTACCAGCAACAAATTCCTGGGTGTGCAGCTAACGAATAGGCTGGCTTGATTGCTCAACAGTGAGAAACTGGTGAAGTGGGCTCAGCAGTGCCTGCATTTTCGGCGTCGCATGAGAAAAGCACATCTTCCTTCCCCTGTCCTGACCACTTTCTACAGGGGGATGATTGAGAGCATCCTGTCATATAGCATCACAGTCTGGTTTGGAGGCATCATTGCTTCAGACAGGAAGGCGGTGCAGAGAGTGGTGAGGACGGCAGAAAAGATCATTGGCAGTTCCCTCCCTCCCATCCAGGACATAGCACAGAGGAGTTGCTTGAGCAGGGTCTGTAAGATTATCTGGGACACTACACACCCTCTTCATGATCTATTTTCCTTGTTGCCTTCTGGGACAAGGGGGCTTCATGGTATCCGTAGCAGAACATCCAGATTCAACCACAGTTTCATTCCATACAGCATTAACCTTGTGAACTCTCAATCTTCCTCCTTCCATTATATATTCAAGATGGACAGTATTTAATATTTATTTGTTATGTATATGTAGGGGTGTGGGTCTATACATATGTTGTTCATAGTATGTTTAGGTGTGTGTCATGTATGTGTTTCACTTTGAGAGTGGGCAACTAAATTTCATTTTTGATGTGTGCCGTTGTGCCCACAGTAAGAAAAAAGTGACAATAAAAGTTATCTTATCTTATCTAAGTGAACCTGGCTTCCCCATTGACTTTGCCTGTCAGAAAATGAGATCCCCTGACTCCAGGATGCTGGAATCGTCCTAAATATGAATCAGTTGGGTCTTGAATTTTGATCACATGACTACGGAGATGCTTGCAATGGTTGTAAGCCTGAAAACTGGCCATAGGTTTTGCAGTGCCATTGTAATTTAGGTCACTAAATGAACTGTTAAGTTGAGACTACCTGTATTGCTGTGAAATAAGAACCATTATCAGTTGAAATTTCACCCATCCAGGAAATATTATCTAGGCCACTCTCTCTTCGAGCAAACGATGTCTGAAAAGAGTTATATTGTGATGGACTTAGGACGAACAAAACATATTCAGTGTTGTTGTTATTCTCCTTTACAGGAAACTGTCATTGAAAAGGGTACAACTGCCTACGAGAACTTTTTGGTTCCAGGGAGTCCCATCTACCGACAGTTTTGGTTGTTCGATGTACAGAACCCAGAGGACGTGATGGCGAACGGTTCCACTCCAATTCTTCAGCAGAAAGGTCCTTACACTTACCGGTAGGTGAAGACATGGAAGAGGGATTAAAGAGCTGAGATGGAACAGGACTCCCCAAGATGCTTTTTCAAGAGGCAACTGGAGTTTCTTGGGATTTTTTTTTTTGAAGACGTTTTGCTTCTCACCCAAGGAGCTTCTTTAGCTTTGATTGGATAGTGGGGAATGGAAAGATTTATACTCCTTGCAGACAGTTGGTCATTTGCATTGTTTTAGTGAGTCGTTAGTGCTACCTGGAGGAGAGGAGAGGAGAGGAGAGGAGAGGGGAAGGGAAGGGAAGGGAAGGGAGAGGAGAGGAGAGGAGAGGAAAGGAGAGGAGAAGGGAAGAGAGGAGGGCAGGGGAGAGGAAGAGAGAGGGGATGGGAGGAGAGGAGAGGATGGGAGGCGAGGGGAGGGGAAGGGAAGGGAAAGGAGGAGAAGGGAGAGGAGAGGAGATGAGGGGAAAGGGAGGGGGAGGGGAAGAGAGGAGAAGAGAGGAGAGGAAAAGAGAGAAAAGGAAAGGAGAGGAGAGGAGAGGAGAGGAAAGGGAGGGGAGGGGAAGAGAGGATAGGGAGAGAAGAGAGGAGAGGAGAGGAGAAGGGAGGAAAGGAGAGGAGAGCAGAGCAGAGGAGAGGAAAGGGAGAGGAGGAGAGGAGAGGAAAGAGAGGAGGGGAAGAGAGAAGAGAGAAGAGAGGAGAGGAGAGGAGAGGAGAGGAAAGGGAGAGGAAAGGAGGAGGAAAGGGAGGAGAGGGGAAGAGAGGAGAAGAGAGGAGAGCAGAGGAGGAGAGGAGAGGAGAGGAAGGAAAGGAAAGGAAAGTCAAATATCCATTTCTCTGCCAGCAAAGAGAGCTGTACTTATTTCTGATTTGTGTCAGCATTTAACAACCAACATGGAATCTCTTTTCCCTCAAGGATGCGATATATGCCCAAGGAAAACATCATTGAACATGAAGACGGCACCCTGTCTTACTTCCTGCGAAACATTTTTCTTTTTGAACCTGATATGTCCGTTGGGACAGAAAATGACACTGTTACCACTGTCAACCTTGCTGTTGTGGTAAGCGAAACCCTCCCATCAGATTCCTGTCCTCTTGAGTTCAGGTAGTCCTCGTCGTACAACAAGTTCATTTAGTGACCGTTCAAAATTACAACGCCACTGGAAAAAAAAACGACTTACTACCGTTTTTCAGTCACGACCATTGCAGGCATCCCCAGGGTCACATGATCAGAATTCAGAGGCTTGGCCACTGACTCGTATTTACGATGGCCGCGGTGTCCCAGGGTCACATGATCCCCTGTTGTGACCTTCGGACAAGCCAATGGGGGAAGCCAGGTTGACTTAACACCTGTGGCCAGAAAAGTTGTAAACCGGGACAACACTCACTTAAGAAATTTCTCACTTAGCAACGTAAACTCTGGGCTTAATTGTGATCGTACGTCGAGGACTACCTGTATTTCAATAATAAATCAATAAGCAGATGGACTTGGATGTTCTCAGTATTCTGCAAGGATCTTCTCCTTTAACCATTTCTTTGATGTTGGGGATGAATGAATTGGGCTATCCAGAAATTTGGCATTACTACATGTTGGTATGAGAAGGAAGGACTCACTGGAGAAGGGCCTAATGCTGGGAAAGATGGAGGGCAAGAGAAGAAGGGGACGACAGAGAATGAAATGGCTGGATGGAGTCACTGAAGCAGTAGGTGTGAACTTAAATGGACTCCAGAAGATGGTAGAGGACAGGAAGACCTGGAGGAACGTTGTCCATGGGGTCGCGATGGGTCGGACACGACTTCGCAATTAACAACAACAACACATGTTGGTAATTTGTTAATCGTAAAGGGGAACTAGGATAAGCAGCTCAGCAAAACTTGGAAATCCATATATTTCTCATTCTTATGGCATCATTTCCATCTCTTAGCTTTTCATCAAAATGAGGCATCCTCAACCACTCAGTTTGATCTTGGGCTTTTGTTCTTACTGGTCTTCTCTTCCTGCCCTTCTGATTTCATAGCAGAAGTATTATTTTATTCCAAGAAGCTTTAAAAATAATTTTGTCTTCTATGTCAGGGGTCCCCAACCACTGTTCTGTGGACTGGTACCGGGGTGTGGCATGCCAGCAACCGGTCTGCACAAACAAGCAAAGTCCCATCCATGGAATGTAGGCAGCACACAAAACCACACTCCCTCTGGTCCGTGGAAAAATCTTTCTCCACAGAACTGGTCCTTGATGCCCAAAAGATTGGGGACCTCTGTTCTATGTCCTATGCAAGTATCAATCAGAATAATAGTGGAGATATACACCCATTTATAAGCACAATTCAATCAGTCAGAATAGAGCTGGAAGGTAACAACAACAACAATAATAATAATGTTGGGAGAGACCTTTGAGGTCATCTAGTCCAACCCCCTGCTCAGACAGGAAACCCTATACCATTTCAGACAAATGGCTGTCCAGTCTCTTCTTAAAAACTTCCAGTGTTGGAGTATTCACCGCTTCTGGAGGCAGGTTGTTCCACTGGTTAATTGTTCTAACTGTCAGGAAGTTTCTCCTTAGTTCTAGGTTGCTTCTCTCTTTGGTTAGTTTCCATCTGTTGCTTCTCATCCTGCCTTCAGGCACTTTGGAGAATAGCTTCTCCCTCTTCTTTGGGGCAGCCCCTGACATATTGGAAGACTGCTATCATGTCCCCCCTCGTCCTTCTCTTCGTTAAACTAGACATACCCAATTCCAGCAACCGTTCCATATATGCTTTAGCCTCCAGTCCCCTGATCATCTTTGTTGCTCTTCTCTCCACTCTTTCTAGAGTCTCAACGTCTTCTAGTCCAGCCCCTGGCTCAAGCAGGAAACCCTATACTATTTCAGACAAGTGACTACCCAATGTCTTTTTAAAATCCCCCAGTCAAGGAGCACAGACAACTTCCGAAGTTGTGCCACTGGTTAATTGTTCTCACTGTTAAGAAATTTCTCCTTAGTTCCAGGTTGCTTCTCTCCTTGATTAGTTTCCATCCCTTGTTTCTTGTCTTGCCTTCTGGTGCTTTGCAGAATATGTTATTGTATTCATTTATTTTAAACTATTATTTAGCTGTGATGCTCGTCTCATGGTATTGACATTAATCAAATTCCTTAGTACATATTAAGTATGGAAACTGTAAACCATTCTGTGATTTGATCAGATTTATAAGATTTAATTCAATCCTGTTATGAAAAGTTTCCTTCTGTTTCCATCCCAGTATCAAAAGTTTATTAATGTATTTGCGTTTCCTGCAGGCTGCACCCGTTTTGTATCCGAATACAGTTCAGTTACTGAATATGTTTATACAACAATCAAAATCAAAATTTCTCCAAACTAGAACCGTGAAAGAAATACTTTGGGGCTATGAAGATCCATTCCTGAAATTAATTCCAATACAAAGCATTGATAAAGTTGTTGGAGTATTCTATCCTGTAAGTATAAACTCAAAGGTGATGAAATTGGTGGGAAGTCAGCGCCCCCCCCCCACAGAAACAAATATTAAAAGGGCAGAAAAATATATTTCCTCAAAGGATCTTAAAGAGGCAGAAAAGCATGCCTAGTTTTCTTAATAGCCCCACATCTCCCTCCCCCAAGCAGAAACCAGCTCTGTAGAAATGCAGATGTAAATAATCCATTCAGGAAGGTTGGAGGCCTCCATCTTCTCATCTTTCCTACTATCTTTTCCTATTGGTTTCTTATGATTTATTAATGATTGTTTGTAACTTATCATTAATGATTCTAACTATGATTATCATCTATGACTTATCGCCTTGTTGTTTGTATGTATACTGAGAGCTTATGCGCCAGAGACAAATTCCTTATGTGTCCAATCACACTTGGCCAATAAAGAATTCTATTCTATTCTATTCTATTCTATTCTATTCTATTCTATTCTATTCTATTCTATTCTATTCTATTCTATTCTATTCTACTCTACTCTACTCTATTCCATTCCATTCAATTCCATTCTACTATTCCATATTTTCTACTCTATTCTATTCCATATTTTCTACTCTACTCTACTCTACTCTACTCTACTCTACTCTACTCTACTCTACTCTACTCCACTCCACTCCACTCCACTTCACTCCACTCCACTCCACTCCATTCCATTCCATTCTATTCTACTCTACTATTCCATATTTTCTACTATTCTATTCCATATTTTCTATTCTATTCTACTCTACTCTACTCTACTCTACTCTACTCTACTCTACTCTACTCTATTCCATATTTTCTATTGTATTCTATTGTATTCTATTGTATTCTATTGTATTGTATTGTATTCTATTCTATTCTATTCTCAAGTTATTTTTGGTCTGCAAAAAGTGTCTTTTGTGGGTGTTTGAATTTTTTTTTTCAATCCCTCCTCCCCGGGAACTTGAACATCTAATTAACTAGCATTATTTCAGAAGTGAAAGGATTAGGTAGAAAAATATTCCATTTTTCTGCAACTGATTTCAGGGCTATTTTGCATGCATTTTGAATTTATCCTGATCCATCATTTTATATACATGTCGATATCTTGATAGTTTTATGGCTGTGATTGCCTCATAATTTCAACCTTGTTTTTGATAATGTGAAAACCGGAAAAATGGGAGGGTGGATAGGAAGTGAAAACCTTGGCAATTTTTTCATGATCAACATTCAGAACATGGCAATTAGAAATTCTAATTATTGCAAAAGTGACAATGCTAATTCAAAGGCAGGAGGAAAAAAATGGATTAATTATTAAGGAGGTAGAACTATCAATGCCCATACACTACTTTCATCTTTGTCATACAAGGCAATATTAAAATATTGATCAATTCCATATCACCATATTGAGGTTCCTGGGAGTTTAGTGAATTGGGTTATTTTTAAAAGATGCGAATGCTTTGTCTAAAAGTTGACTCAGGCATCTTCAGAAAGTTTTTGTTTCTTGAACTGTGACCAAAAAAATTCCTTGTTTGAATTTTTAGCCGAACCCTACTTCAGAAATGATGGTCCCCATCTCCTAGGTACAGGAAAAAAAAAAAAGGCTGCTAAAATCAGAAAACTAAGAATGTTAGACATAATTTAGATTTTGGACAGTAGATTTTTAAATACTAAATACTAAAAAAATCATCTTAATAATCAAGATGAAAAATAAGATTTCCTGTTCTGTCTCTTTTCTCTTGTTCAAGTTGAATGACACATCTGATGGCCCTTACCGAATTTACAGTGGGAAAAACAATATAAGCCGGACGGGAATTATACACAGTTATAAAAACAACAGGTATACAATATTTCAGAAGAAGCAGCTATATTTATTTATTTTCAAAATTTACAATGGCTTAGTTTAGCAATTACGTTCTGTTTTGTGAACTCTTGCAGGATCTGTCTTTTTTTTTATATATGTCAGATTTCCCTGGGGCTGAACTGCCCCATTCACTCACACACACATAACTATGATGAAATCAGTTTATTAATATTTCCCCATCAATTCCCTTTAGCAAGACTCAGAATTGTCCCAAAGAAGTCCAGTCACAAGCAAGCCAAGATTAGTCCATGAAACAAATGAAAGTTGCTCAAACCAAATACAATAGTGGCCAAAATTGTGGAACCCTTTTGGGAAAAGTCTACAGTAGAAATGGCACCTTTGGTTAAGTTTCCACCCATTTTTATTCTAATTTCTTTTTAACTGTAGCCTTGTTCACTTAATAATACTATTTTACATCGCTTTCTGGGCGACCAGTCAACTCTTTGCACCATTGCTTTAATTTTATGACGTTTTACAAGCTCACTAAATGAAAGAACACACACAAAAAAAACCCAACCAACTTGATAGCGATCACTTAACACACTAACAAATGTCCTCCTCTCAGCTTCAATACAGGACATCAATAACTGAATCCTACTGTGATCTGATTGGCTCATGGCTAAAACAAGATGACACCCGATTGGCTCTCTAAACACTCGCGCTCATTGGCTACAATCAGATGAAGGAAAGCTACCTGAGATCAACCTAAGCAAGTTGTGTTTCCTTTTTCTGGTTATTTGGCTATAACTTTTCATAGAATACAGTACAGATAATCGAACAAACTATGTTGCATGACATTCTTGATTAAATTATCTTCCCATTGATATATAATTTTATGCTATTACTCCAAAGAAAAGTGGTGTTATTAGCCATCCAACCTCAAAAATACACTTTTCCCAAAAGGTTTCCACAATTTTGGCCACTACTGCAGTCAATCAGATTTATGTTTGCTATACAAATACTATCCTAGTCTTGCTTTTTCAGGAGGCTGTTTATTATTTTACACATACATTCCTCCTATCTTAACATAAATGATTATTTTTTTTCAAAGGGATGGGATTATAAAAAACCTTGAGAACAGAAAATGTACTCTGACCTGGAATTCCCAGACTTCCCTTAGCTTCAGAAAACAAATATTTAGCTGGGAAAACTGCATGGCAAGCAACTGAGTTGCATATTCTTTTTCTCTCTCTTTTTTTTTAGGACCGTTGAATACTGGCAAAGTTATTGTGCTATGGTGAATGGCACCGGTAAGTCTGTCAATGGAACAATATCGAACATGTATTTCTGAGTAGAACACCCAACACACATTTTGGCATGCATTAAAACAGAGTTTTTTGTTTGATAATATGGATGTTATTGGGTATGATAATTAATTGGATGAAATTAGAATTTTGTCTAATGGACTTACCGTAAATGCCGGCGTACAAGGCGACCCGGCGTATAAGACGACCCCCGTCTTTATAGCCGGGCCACATTCCTAGAACGTCGTCTTATACGCCGGAAACTACCAGTATTTCTGGCGTATAAGACGACTCGGCGTATAAGACGACCCCCGTCTTTGGCGCCGATTTCAGCGCTCGCGGAAGTCGTCTTATACGCCGGCATTTACGGTAAATGATTTAAGGTTGATATTACTTTGTCAGCTTAAAGAAATTGATTGGGAGATGAACCGCTGGTGGAAGGGGGCCTTGTGAAGGATGGTTGAGGGTTGGTGCCATCGCTGGCTGGCTGTGTGGTTGATTTGAATTCTAAGGGGTTCATAAGCTGATTGTATGTCCATGTGTCTGTTGATGGAATTGCTTGTGGAGTGCCAGGCTTCTAAGAACTCACGATTGTGGTGGGTGGTAGTGTGGTTGATGATTTTAGTGTTGCTCTACCCACACCGACAACAAACAACCCCAGTGTGATTGGAGCTGGTTAGGGAACCAACCCACAAGCTTGGAGAACGAACGTTCCCCCACACCCTACCCCATAGCTACAGATATTTGCCACTATTGCAAAGAACACTGTTTTGGAACGTTGCTCCATCAATGTTCATTGTTAAGGTTAAAAGAAACTTCACAATCCTGACTAAGGCTCTAGAAATAGATTTCCAGCTTGAAGCTCTTTACGAGTCCAAATTTGCCTTCAGGTCCTAGGTGTGTAAACTCCAGAAAAAGAAAATGTTAACCTGCCTTTGTAAGAAGGAGAAGATGCTCTTTATTTCTTTAGTTCTCGAAGGCTTGCCTTGGCCTCTGATCATCCAACCGTTAGAACTGAAGAGCTGAGTTGGATGAACCGGGAATCAGTCAGACCCAACCTTAGTTGTAAAGCCGTGCTTTGAATTCAGATGCAGCAATTTTGTACGAGCTGCGAGGCTCACCATTCACAACATGTTCTGATTGTAACTCAACAGATGCAGCGTCGTTCCACCCGTTTGTCGACAAGAGTGAAGTGCTGTATTTCTTTTCCGCAGATATTTGCAGGTAAAGGATTTTGAGCAAATGAGGCCATTCCTTTCATTCCAAAATATAGGTAGTTCTTGATATATGATCACAACGTGGGGAGGCAGGGTTGATGACCCATAATAATAGTAAAGTTGGAAGGGACCTTGGAGGTCATCTAGTCCAACCCCCTGCTCAGGCAGGAAACCCTATACCATTTCAGACAAATGGCTGTCCAGTCTCTTCTTAAAAACTTCCAATGTTGGAGCATTCACTGCTTCTGGAGGCAGGCTGTTCCACTGGTTAATTGTTCTAACTGTCAGGAAGTTTCTCCTTAGTTCTAGGTTGCTTCTCTACTTGATTAGTTTCCATCCGTTTCTTCTTGTCCAGGTGCCTTGGAGAATAGCTTGACTCCCTCTTCTTTGTGGCAGCCCCTGAGATATTGGAAGCCTGCTATCCCCCTCGTCCTTCTCTTCATTAAACTAGACATACCCAATTCCAGCAAATGTTCCTTATATGTTTTAGCCTCATAAAGAGAATGTGTCTTCCCCCATCGACTTTGCTTGTTGGAAGCCAGCTTGGAAGGACCCAAAGAGCAATCATCCAATCCCAGGTTGCCTCATCCATCATAAATACATGACCAAATTTAATCACGTGACTATGGGGATAAAGAAATGGTCATAAGTGCGAGGACCAATCCTAGATCACTTTTTTTTTCAGGGCACTTGTAACTTTTTGACGGCTTGCTAAATGAATGGTTGTAACTCAAGGACTACCTGGGATAAAATTTTTTAAAAAATCAGCAACATTCAACGGCAGGACATCTGAGTTAATTAAGCTGGGCTGTCTAATTGAACAAGAGGGATTGGCAGCTTCTCTATTAAAATTGTAACTCAAAATCCAGTTTACCCTCAAACTGTTAGCATTCATAGACCTTAACCGCTTCGTTACCATCTCCATTCTTTCGGGAACCAATTGGGGTTCTTTGCAAAGTTCTAGATTTCAAGGCCATCTGAGAAGACACTTTGTTTTTATATGGCTATTTAGAACTTCTGCCTCCCCGAAGAATGGTGCCAATTCTGGTTCTGCCTTGGTGAGATGCCAGTCGCTCCTACCTCACCCAGGTGGAGAGTGATCTGATCGAAGATCCCCTCATTTTGATCAAGGGATGAGATCCAAGAGGTTAGATCAGAGGTCCCCAACCTTGCCAACATGAAGACCTGTGGACTTCAAATCCCAGCTGGCTGAGGAATTCTGGGAGTTGAAGTCCATAAGTTGGAGTGCCCTGTGTTAGACGATCAACCGATTCTTGGAAAAATGTGATTGGTGGCTACAAGATTGGTGGATGTCCCAAAGGCTTTTCCAAAAGGCAACGTGGACTTTGTTTTTCTCTGAAGATGTTTCACTTCTCACGCAAGAAGCCTTTTCAATTCTGGAGTTCTGCAGAGCTGAAGAAGTTTCTTGGATGAGAGACAAAATGTCTTCAAGGAAGAACGAAGTCCAGTTGCCTTTTGGAAAAAACATAGTTTGGGACAACCATGACCTGGATGACTGAGAATCTCCATCGACAAGATTGGTGGGTCTTTTTTTTTTTTTAATCATGGCGTATGATCCTTCATAGCGCTACTTCATATATTTTTTTTTGCAGGTCTATGTCCGCAACATTTGATACTGAGAAGACAGTGAAAGAGATCCTTCTTTATCGGTTCCCTATTTCACCAATGGCTTTTGCCTCAGTAGATATCAACCCTGATAATATATGCTTCTGCAACGAAATGGAGCTGAGTCGGAACTGCTCAATACGGGGAATTCTGGATGTCAGCTCCTGCAAAGGAGGTAACAGAGGAAAAAGAGGAGGGATTGAGTAGGATTAATTGAAATGGAAATTGTATAAAAAGCTGGAATCTTGACTGTATCACGTGTGACTTTTCGTAGCATCCAAATCAGGACTCGGCATTTTTTGATTGCATGCTCAGCCAGTGGTCTTTTGAAATCTTCTGTTGATATCCACACCCAACAGGGCCACATGTTGAATCTCAGAGATGATACAAAGGAGAAAAATGTACTTAGCAGGAACCTTTTATCTCTGTTAGCCAAGGTTATCTTCTGCTCCATGGTGGTCCAAGAATCAGAATGCTTGGCCCTTCTATTTGTGTAGCCTGGTCCTTGTTAATCCATGCTCAGCGCACAACTTTTATTCCTTATAATTTTTGTGACATGGCTGTAGTCAGAGGAAAGTCCATTGCAAACATTTCCTCCTCCTCCTCCTCCTCCTCCTCCTCCTCCTCCTTCTTCTTTTCCTTCTTCCTTCTGAAGTTTTGATTTGGATCATGTCCAATCTGCCAAGCTTACTAGGGTTGTAGTTGGTGAATAAGTTCACCAAGTGGTTTGCTGCTATCCCAAAGGTAGAAAGATCTCCATTCTTCCATTCAGTTTCGGTAGTAGAATGGAACATTATGATCCAGACTTGTTAACCATCTTCATTTCCTTTTTATTTCTGCAGGTAAACCAGTCTACATCACATTGCCCCATTTCCTACAAGTGAGTGAGGAATTTTTTCAATATGTTGAGGGACTGAAGCCAAATATGGAAGAACACAGGACTTTTCTGGATGTGGAACCAGTAAGTGACTGCTAATTAAATCTGTATCCATGCCTCCTCTGTCTTAGAGTGAGACCCTTGGAGTTAATTTTCAGGTTTGTGCACCAAAGTGAAAAGTTTTCTCCTAGTCCACAGTTTGCATGAAGACTGAGGAGTCCTTGGTGCTCTCTGAGCTTGCTTGTTTTCTTGCAGATGTTGCATTACCCTAACTAGGCAACATCATCAGAGCTAGTAAGGAGGGCTGTTTGCTTACTAGCACTGATGATGTTACCTAGTTTGGATGATGAAACGTCTGCAAGGAAAGAACCAAGCTTAGAGAGCAAGGATCCAACCCTCCTCCTCCTCCTCCTCCTCCTCCTCCTCCTCCTCCTCCTCCTCCTCCTCCTCCTCCTCCTCCCAGCACTGGTGATGTTACCTAGTTGGGTAATGAAATGTCTGCAAGGAAACAACCAAGCTCAGACAGCATCAAGGATTCCACAGCCCCCCCCCCTCCTCCTCCTCCTCCTCCTCCTCCTCCTCCTCCTCCTCCTCCTCCTCTTCTTCTTCTTCTTCTTCTTCTTCTTCTTCTTCTTCTTCTTCTTCTCCTCCTCCTCCTCCTCCTCCTCCTCCTCCTCCTCCTCCTCCTCCTCCTCTCCTCCTCCTCCTCCTCCTCCTCCTCCCCCCTTCTAGCACTGATGCCTCATTTCAACCCTGAGCTACAAATATTCTCCTTCATTGCATGAAGATTTTTCAAGGGCCCATCAGCCTGTACTTCAAGGAGGCTTCTGGGTTTTTTTTTTTTTTTTTGCTGCTTATTCTAAGCACATTTAAAAAGCAAAGCACACCAACCTTAAAAACAAACATCCATCTCAGAATGGATGAATATCCAGTTCCAATTAATTGCAATCACATCCCTGAAACAAGTGAGATACTGCAGCTATGGTTTCCTGGCTAATTGGGAGTCAACCTTCTCCAGTGCTGGGGAAACGCTTCTAAACTCAGCATTTGAGTCATCTGTATGCATTATTTTCCTATTCAATGCTGCTAATCTTTGAATATTCCCACCCATGAAGTTCTCTGTATTTGTTCTGTTTTAGATCACAGGGCTTACCATGCACTTTGCCAAAAGGCTGCAGTTAAATTTAATGGTGCAACCGAATTCAAAAATCACGTAAGTCTTGACTATTATTGGGAAAACGTCGGCCAATGGATTGTTCTACATCAATGTTTCTCAACCTTGACAATTTTAAGGCATGTGGACTTCAACTTCCAGAATTCCACAGCCAGCAATGCTGGCTGTGGAATTCTGGGAGTTGAAGTCCACATGCCTTAAAATTGTCAAGGTTGAGAAACACTGTTCTACATATATGCTTATTAGGAGAATGGGCTTATGCACAGCAGCATCTTGAAGTCAACCTCTACAAAATGGCAGGCATGACATTCTTACTCAAGCTCCGCCCCCTTTCAGAATGGGATCTTTAGGCTCTCACCATTGGCCATGCCCACTTTGCCCCCAACCATCCGCCTCAGCCTGTTCACAGCCAGCTTTCCCCCTCTGCTGGCTTTCCCTAGGCCAAGGGTAGGCAACCCCAGCTCTTTTATGACTCGTGGACTCCAACTCCCAGAATTCCTGAGCCAGCCATGCTGAGGGGAAAGGGAGAGGTTTCCAAGCTAATATCCACCAATCTCATTCATCTGAGACAGTTCCATCCACCTTATAGATAAGGGCTTATCTGCTTTGTTGACCTTGTCCGTACTTCTGAGAAAGGTTTGTGCTTGGCTACCAAAATGAGACCTTTCCTTGTTGTGTTTTGCATATTTTGAAAATGCCATTAGCTTTTTACTCAAAGGCAATAATTTAAATAAATGTGGACATTTCAAATCGGGTTAGAATTGGAGGAGGGACCAAGTAGAAGCAGGCATTTTTCTCCACAAGGCAATTTCAATCAGGGTCCAAGAAAAATAGTATAGAATTCAAATTAATGTAGCTATTTCTTGCATTTTCACAAGACAGCCGGCCCAAAGTGAGCTGTTCCAATATTGCATTTTTAATATATATTTTTGTTTCCTGCAGAGTCCTAAAAAACATCAAGCATCGCTTTCTCTTTCCTATTTTATGGCTGAATGAGGTCAGTGGGTGTCTTTTTCAATTGCTGTAATCCTTCCTTTTAGTCTGATTCTTTGAGCAATCTGGGATCACTGTTGATTGAACCAACTACACTAGTGGCCAAAATGGTGGAAACCTTTTGGGAAAAGTGTCCAGTAGAAATGCCATCTTTGGTTAAGTTTCCACCCATTTTTCTTCTAATTTCTTTATAACTGTAGCCTTGTTCACTTAATAATACTATTTTACATCGCTTTCTGGGCAACCAGCCAACTCTTTGCACCATTATTTTAATTTTATGTTGTACAAGCTCACTAAATGAAAGAACACACACAAAAAAACCCCAGCCAACGTGATAGCCATCACATAACACACTGACCAATGTCCTCCTCTCAGCTTCAATACAGGACATCAATCACTGGATCCTACTGTGATCTGATTGGCTCATTGCCAAAACAAGAGGACACCCGATTGGCTCTCTAAATGCTTCTGCTCATTGGCTACAATCAGATGAAGGAAAGCTACCTGAGATCAACCTAAGCAAGTTGTGCTTCCTTTTTCTGGTTATCTGGCTTTACCTTTTCATAGAACACAGTACAGATAATTGAACAAACTATGTTGCATTACATTCTCGATTAAATGATCTTTCCATTGATATATCATTTTATGGTACTACTCCCCCCCCCAAAAAAAAGTGGTGTTATTAGCCATCAAACCTCAAAAATACACTTTCCCCAAAAGGTTTCCACAATTTTGGCCACTATTGTATCTGTGCCCTCAAGGTCATCTGAATCAGAGTGCAAATGGTTGTGGAATCTTCTTGGAAATGCAGAAAGGACTGTGTGATAGACACACTGTGTGGCAGCAGCCAAACAAGCTAAAACAATCCTTGGTTGCATAAACAGAGGCACAGAGTCAAAATCACGTCAAGTATTAGTACCGCTTTATAAAGCCTTAGTAAGGCCACACCTGGAACACTGCTATCCTGTCCCCCCTCATCCTTCTCTTCATTAAACTAGACATACCCAATTCCAGCAACCGTTCATTATATGTTTTAGCCTCCAGTCCCCTGATCATCTTTGTTGCAAGATAGCTCTTCTTTGGGGTTGGAGTGTTGAGTATTGAGCCAGTGTTCTTCTGATGCTAAATATTTTTCTGCCCTTCCTCTAGACGGCTGTGATCAGTGATGAGAAAGCAGAACTTTTCCGATCAAAAGTGACCGACAAGATCAAGTTGCTGAACATCATTCAAATAGTGCTCATCACTCTTGGTTCTGTGATGTTCCTGGGATTCCTCATTGCCTTTTTCGCTTGCAAAAGAAAGAGTCCCAAATAAGTAATCTAAAATAGGACTGGGAATTTAGATAAATTAATTCAGCTCCACCAGATTCTGGGTGGCATTGGACATTAAAAAAAAAAAATAGCGAGAAGCAAGAAAAACAGCAAGAAAAGAACAATGGATCTCCAGGCCAACTTTCCAACTAGAAGATCAAATTCTTGAACTGCCCAGGTTTTAGGCAATATCCTAAACATTAAACATCTCCAGAGGGTGCCATTGCAGCTGACAGGTGCTTTGACAGCACTACAGATAGACCTTGACTGACGGGCCACAAATGAGCCCAAAATTTATGTTGTTAAGCCAGACATTTGTTAACTTGAGTTTTGCCCCATTTCACCACTTTGCTTGCCACATTTGTTAAGTGTATGACTGCAGTTGTTAAATGAGCAACACAGTCAGTGGTGGGATTCAGCCGGTTCGCACCACTTCGGCAGAAGCAGTAGCTAAATTTTATGGAGTTCAGAGAACTGGCTGAATGCACACCACTTCCGGATGTCTGTTCTAGGCCTCAGAGGCCTGGAGGAGGCCTTCCAGGCCTAGAATGGCCTGCTGGAAGTGCGTGGGTGTCACTTCCGGAAGTCCATTCTAGGCCTTGGAGGCCCAGGCCTACATCCACCGGTTGTTCAGTATTTGAATCCCACCGCTGAACACAGTTGTTAAGTAAATCCGGCTTCCCCATTGACTTTGCTTGTCAGAAGGTCATAAAAGGGGATCACATGACCCCAGGGGGACATTGCGACTGTCATAAATGCCAAGTGTCTGAATTTTGAACATGTGAACAACACTGGGTTGTTGCTACGGCCGGCCATGTGAAAATCAATCATAAGTCACTTTTTTTCCCCCAGTGCTGTTGCAACTTCAAACGGTCACTAAGCAAATTGTTGTAAGACGAGGGTAACCTGTGACCCATTAATCAGAAATTTTGTTTTTAACCAAGTGACTTTTTTATTTTTATACTCTTGACGTTTTCACTTCATACATTTGAAGAACAGAGAGTGGAAAACCTTAAAAGGATTCTCTAGTTGAACATCAAATGCAATTCACTTCTGGGCTTCATCCATGGAAAGTATATCCTTCAACTGCAAATAGGCAATTTGGATTTTTTTTTTTTTTGTTTGAAAGGAAAACAGATGTATTCCTGTATTTTGTTTAGCTATGGGACTGGCCAGTGGCAAGACTGTGCAGTTCAAGTATTTGCCAGCTGGGGGCAATGCTGCATTTCCATGAAAATGGATTTTTTTTTTTTTATCAGAAAGCAAAAGTCAAAATTATAATAGCCCTTAGGTGCAACAACATAACTTTACTAGCAAGTAATTTATCTCAAGATCAAAATTATTATTGTCAAACGAATAAAAAGATGGATATTCTTCTTTTGCTTTTCACTCATTGTATTTCATTTTGAAGACCAGTTGAATAATTGCGATGCTTGCAACGTGAACATTTGAAACTGTAATTAATGCTGATAGATGGTCTTACATGTTTTTCTTTTATCGGCATTTGATACTCCAATGCACTTATCTGATGCAATATTAAAAATCTAAGCATATTTTATAAACACACATTGAAATAACCCCGTGTACTAAAAATGAGAAGATAGAGCAATGGATGGCTTCTATGGCTAGATTTAATAGTATTTTAAAGGACTAAGTATTTCTGTATTAACATATCACTTATGTTAATATCACTCACTTATTCATTCTACTTTTTTTTCTGATTTTGGTACAATTGCTGTGCATTGGGTTGTACTTTATCGCTTCTTCTGGTTGAGGTACACAGAAAGAGAGAGAGAGAGAGAGAGGGAGGGAGGGAGGGAGGGAGGGAGGGAGGGAGAGAGAGAGAGAGAGAGGTGTAAATTATATTTGCTCTCTATTAAAATCAGCTTGGGACATTTGAAAAGAAGCCACATCAGTATGCAGCTTTAAGATTTTTGGTTAGTCTTTCAGAACTGAGACAAGGGTCCTTCACCATCCAACTGGTCCGAGATCTTTGAAAAAGATGATTCCATGGTTCCAAGATCACATCTGCCAGCTCCTTCAGAATACTTGAGAAGAGCAGATTTTCATTCTGCTTTATCTAGCAGTGGTCTAGATCAAAGGCCCTCAACCTTTTGAGTACCAGGGACCAGTTACACCAGTGGTTCTCAACCTTTTTAATGCCACGACCCCCCAACCGGTCGTAAGTCGAGGACTACTCAACCGGTCGTAAGTCGAGGACTACTCAACTGGTGCAGCACCGTTTGCAGAATGGGACTTTTGGCGGGCTCAGCAGGGCAGAGGCAGCCTGGACAATTCCTATTGGCTTTTGAAAGCCAATAGAATTAGACTCTATTCAAGAGAGTCTATTCTATTGGCTTTCCAAAGCCAATAGAATAAAAGGGAGTAGCACAGCTAAGGAAAAGGGGGGAAAAATGGCAGACTGCGTTGTTTGGCAACCCCCATGAAATGGTCGTTCGACCCCAAATGGGGTCCCGACCCACAGGTTGAGAACCACTGAGTAACACGGAGAGAGATTTTTCCGTGGACCGGAGGATGCGTGGTTTTGTGTGCTGCCTGCATCCTGTGGATGGGGCTTTGCTTGTTTGTGCAGCCTGGTTGCTGGCATGCCGCGGCCCGGTACCGGTCCATGGACCGGGGGTTGGCGACCTCTGGTCTAGGTCAGTGGTTCTCAACCTGTAGTCCATGGACCTCTAGGGGTTGTGATATTGTCACAGGGGTTCCAGGAAGGCTTGAACAAATATTATAATTTAAATCTTGAGTTAAGTCTTGGTGGTCCGTGGCCACAAAAGGTATTTAAAGGAGGTCCATGTTGAAGAAAAGGTTGAGAACCACTGGTCTAGATAAGAAGCTTCAAACTTTTTAGACCATTAATCTTGTTAAGTCAAAACAAAACAGCTTCTAGATTGAACCTCGACCAAGAGGCAAAACTCTAGGGGCGGGAAGTCAACTATGTCTGAACAATTTTGCCTGTAGTTTCTCCTGGAACCCCGTCCAGTGTAACCCAGTTTGAAAAATCTTAGTCGAGATGTCTAGATCGTGCTCGATGTCTAGATGTCTTGGTCTAGATATCTAGAATGTCCAGGAGATCCTTCAATGTCACTTGTTGACATTTGCTAAGATTCCAACAACTCTCTGATAGAAAAATGTCTCTCTTTAGAGAAGAGTCGTATATTTTTGTCTACTCAGGAACGTGTTAAATGCCAGCTTTTTGCATCTGGAATTGTAGGGGTCCAAAATCAATTGCACGCTTGGTATGTTGCTTTAGTCCCGGTGGGGTCATTTGATTCCTGAGGCGTGAACCCATTTGCATGGCAGCGGATAATTTGAACCCCCTAAGAACTGCTCTCCAGCAACAGCAGCTGTTGAATGGGTTAAGCCAACTAAACCAAGGGCGGAGGCAACAGGAAGGGGGGGGGAGCCACTGTGTTCACAGCTGCATTAGCACATCGTTGCAAAAAAAAAAAAGAATCTTTTCAAGTCAGTCCGAAACTTCTTGACTTGGACTTATTTCAATCTCAGAACTTCGCTAACAAAATTTGCAATAAAAGCTTCACACAAATGTGAATCTTCTTGGGACTTCACTATTGCCAATTCTGTACTACTTTATCTTGCCTAACGTCTGAACAGGGCAGCTGGTGGATTATGACTGAGTCTGGAATGTGTCAGCTAGGTTTGGAAATTCATGACATTTTCATGGACCTAGGAATGGAATGGAATGGAATGGAATGGAATAGAATAGAATAGAATAGAATAGAATAGAATAGAATAGAATAGAATAGAATAGAATATGGAATGGAATGGAATGGAATAGAATAGAATAGAATAGAATAGAATAGAATAGAATAGAATAGAACAGAATAGAATAGGTATTGGAATATAGAATAGAATAGATATTGGAATATAGAATAGAATATAGAATAGAATAGAATAGAATAGAATAGAATAGAATAGAATAGATATTGGAATATAGAATAGAATAGAATACAGAATGGAATAGAATAGAATAGAATAGAATGGAATGGAATGGAATGGAATGGAATGGAATGGAATGGAATAGAATGGAATAGAATAGAATAGAATAGAATAGAATAGAATAGAATAGAATAGAATAGGAATGGAATGGAATGGAATAGAATAGAATAGAATAGAATAGAATAGAATAGATATTGGAATATAGAATAGAATAGAATAGAATAGAATAGATATTGGAATATAGAATAGAATAGAATATAGAATAGAATAGAATATAGAATGGAATAGAATAGAATAGAATAGGAATGGAATGGAATGGAATAGAATATAATAGATATTGGAATATAGAATAGAATAGAATAGAATAGAATAGAATAGAATAGAATAGAATAGAATAGAATAGATATTGGAATATAGAATAGAATAGATATTGGAATGTAGAATAGAATAGAAGAATAGAATAGAATAGAATAGAATAGAATAGAATAGAATAGAATAGAATAGATGGAACAGAACAGAACTAGAATAGAATAGAATAGAATAGAATAGAATAGAATATAGAATAGAATAGAATAAATGGAATAGAATAGAATAGAATAGAATAGAATAGAATAGAATAGAATAGAATAGAATAGAATAGAATAGAATAGAATAGAATAGAATAGAATAGAATAGAATAGAATAGAATAGAAGAATAGAATAATAGAATAGATAGAATAGAATAGAATAGAATAGAATAGAATAGAATAGAATAGAATAGAATAGAATAGAATATAGAATAGAATAGAATACAGAATGAATAGAATAGAATAGAATAGAATAGAAGAATAGAATGGAATGGAATGGAAGAATAGAATATAGAATAGAATAGAATAGAATAGAATAGAATAGGAATGGGATGGAATGGAATGGAATAGAATAGAATAGAATAGATATTGGAATATAGAATAGAATAGAATAGAATAGAATAGATATTGGAATATAGAATAGAATAGAATAGAATAGAATAGAATAGGAATGGAATGGAATGGAATAGAATATAATAGATATTGGAATATAGAATAGAATAGAATAGAATAGAATAGAATAGAATAGAATAGAATAGAATAGAATAGAATAGATATTGGAATATAGAATAGAATAGAATAGAATAGAATAGAATAGAATAGAATAGAATAGAATAGAATAGAATAGAATAGAATATAGAGCTGGAAGGGACTTTGGAAGTCTTCTAATCCAACCCCCGATCAAGTAGGAGACCCAATACCATTCCAGACAAGTGGATGTCCAGTCTCTTCTTAAAAACCTCCAGTGATGAAGCATCCACAGCTTCTAAAGGCAAGCTGTTCTACTGCTTAATTGTCCTCGCTGTTAGGAAGTTTCTCCTTAATTCCAGATTG